CCATGATTGTGTTTTTGATCTTTTTAAGGCTTCTACTTTGTTCCCATTTCTTACACTATAGGCTAGAGAACTTTGGTTCATGTAACTTAAATGATGAATTAGTTTAGTAAAGAGAGTTGCATTTTTTTTTTTTTGCTATTTATGATTTCTTAAATAACTTACTTTGTTGTTAAGAATTAGGTTACTAGTATCACTCATTGTTGGCTTTTGCAGAAGGCTGATTCTTCCACTGTTTGGAAAGAGTTCACAACTGCAGAGGGTAAAAGGTATTTTTCTGTTCATCTTTTCTTAAGTTTTAAAGATTTACAGAATGTGTACTTTTTTTCCTCTTCTATACACTTATTTTGTACTTAATATATATATAATATATATACGTATGCAGATATTACTACAACAAGGAAACAAAGCAATCTAAATGGACAATACCTGATGAATTGAAGGTTTTTATTATGAATTATTCCATTTTCCATTTTTATGTTTTTATCTCCTTCTGCTCTAACTTTTGTTTTTTATGCACAGATGGCTCGTGAGCAGGCTGAAAAAGAAGCTTCTAGAAGCTCAGTCAATGACAGTTGTTTGACCGTTCCTGTGGTGGGAGTTAAGCCTCACTCTCCTGTTTCTCCAACAGTCAATGATGCTCCTAGTGTTTTAGTCAACACAAGTTCATCTCCAAAGTAAGTGTTTATTTAATCAATTATGAAATGATTACATTAGCATTTTTGGGTTTTTGTTTATGTATAATTTGAAAATATGGAAATAATGTAGGACAAATTTGGAGATTACATCCTCAAATGATGCTGCTAATGCTTTAGATGAAGCTTCAATGCAGGATATCAAGGTATGAAAAATTCATTCTTTTCTCATTAATTGTTTATTTAATAAATTTTGAGATTGTTGATGCTGTTTGCAGGAAGCAAAAAAGGACATATCAGATGTTGGGAAAGTGAATGTAACACAATCAGAGGAAAAAGTAATGGATGCTGAACCCTTGTTATATGCAAGCAAGAAGGTAAAAATGCTACATTTGTTCAATTAATCCTTTTCGATTTTTTTTTTTTTCTCTTTGTTTTTAATTTTCTACCTACAATAACTTTTTAGGAAGCAAAACTTGCCTTCAGATCTTTACTGGAATCTGCAAATCTTGAAGCTGATTGGAGTTGGGAACAGGTATCAGTAACTTTCATTGGCTTCCTTTTTGACTTTTTGTAAGTCAACTATATTGACCATGAAATTGACATGTCAGGCAATGAGAGTAATTATAAATGATAAAAGGTATGGCGCATTAAAAACACTTGGAGAACGTAAACAGGCATTTAATGAGGTAAAATTTTGCATTCGTAGCATCATTTTTCACCTTTTGTTATAAAAAAAGTTGAAAAATCTTCATTCTGATTTCTGTGTTTCTATAGTACCTAGTGGAAAAAAAGAAATTGGAGGCTGAAGAGAAGCGCTTGAAGCTGAAAAAAGCAAAAGATGAATTCATGCAGATGTTGGAAGTATGTCACATGCTACATACATACATCCATCCATACATGCATACATATATACATGCATAGATAACTAATGGTTGTATGTTGTTCTTTTTTAAATCACTTTCAGGAGTCTAAGGAATTAACATCATCAATGAGATGGAGGTAAAATTTATCTTTCATGTAATGAGAGATGCTTTTTGTATAGAATTTTGATTTAGTATATTATTACAATATTGCCATTATATTAATTTGTTTAAAGCAGCAAGGCTATAGCATTGTTTGAAGATGATAAACGTTATAAGGCTATAGAAAGACCTTCTGAACGTGAAGATCTTTTTCAAGACTACCTGGTTGATCTTAAGAAGAAAGTAAGTTCATGTCATGTGCTCTGGAATTCAGTTCTTGCTATAATTACTTAAATACCCTTTTAACCACCTTCAGGAAAGAGCAAAACTTCAAGAGGAGAAACGTCAGAATAGGTTAGAGTACAGACATTTTCTTGAAACTTGTGGCTTTATTAAAGTAAGTATTGTTGGAAATTCGAATGGATCATAAGATTGGGCATTTATTTATGTTGATTGATGTTTGATGTTAACTTCAAAATCTATATTTTTTAAAAAAATAAAAAAAAATCCAGGTGGACACTCAGTGGCGAAAAGTTAAAGATCGGTTAGAAGATGATGAAAGATGTTCACGCCTTGAAAAAATTGATCGGTTAGAGATTTTCCAGGTAAATAAATTGTCACACTTTTATTATTTAAAAAAAAAAAAAAAAGATTTCTTATTACTATATTAGGAAACTGATAATATTAATGTCTATGCTTATTATTACAGGAATACATCCGTGAGCTTGAGAAGGAAGATGATGAACAGAGGAAGTTAAAAAAAGTGAGCGTGAAATTTGAAGGCTATAATTATTTAATACAAGGTCATTTACTTGTTAAGTAGTTTAAATTTTTATTTTTTATTTAATTTTTGAAGGAAGAAATAAAAAAAATGGAGCGAAAAAACCGTGATGAATTTAGCAAGATGATGGAAGAACATGTGGTTTCTGGCATGCTTACAGTCAATACCCAATGGGTTGACTATTTTCAGAAGGTAGTTGGAAATCGAAATCAAAATAAAGTCTAAAATAAAATAGTTAAATAAATATTTTATTTATATTAAATATTGTAGGTTAAGGAGTCTGCAGCTTATCATGCAGTTGCTTCAAATACAAGTGGCGCAACAGCAATAGATTTATTTGAGGATGTTGCTGAAGAATTGGAGAAAAAGGTACTCATTATTATTTAATATTATTTTATTTAAAAGTATCATTATTATTATGGTATTAGTAGTTTCTAAATATATGTATATATATATTTTTATGATTTGACAGTATCATGATGATAAGACACGTGTAAAAGATGCTTTGAAGATAAAGAAGGTAGGATTTATTTATGATGTTTCGGTATCTGCATTTCTTTTTATTTATTTATTTATTATTTGTTGATTGTGATTTACATTTTCTTGTTATATTTTTTTTTGAAAGGTGAGCGTTGCAGCAACATGGACATTTAAAGATTTCAAGGATGCTATTCAAGATGACATCATCTCTCCACCTTTATCAGATATAAATTTACAGGTTTAATTCTTTGATCAAACACACTAACTTCTTCCAACGATTTGTGATTAATATATTTTATTATTATTATTTTTAGGTTGTATTTGAGGACCTACTCAAGAGGGCTAAAGAGAAAGAGAAGAAAGAACATAAAAGGCGAAGGAATCTTGCCAAAGATTTCACACAATTATTGGACAACATCAAGGTATATTTATTAGGGTTTAGGGTTTTAGGTTGAGTATAAATAAAATTTTATAAAACTTGATTGATTTGTGAATTCATAGGAAATAAATGCAAGCTCTACATGGGAGGAGTGCAAGCAACTTTTTGAGGAAAGTAATGTGTATAGGTATGGTATTTTATTATTCAATATCAAGAAATATATTTTTGAATAAAATTTTGTAAAATTGTCTTGTTTTTTGACATGGATTTAGATCTATTGGAGATGAGAAGTTTTGTCGAGTGGCTTTTGAGGAATATGTTGCTCATTTAGTGGAGAAGGGAACAGACAACAAACACAAACAGGAGGACGAAAAGGTTATTTAAGTAACTCACATTCACATTCACATTCACATTGGGAGGTAATTTTCAAAAAAATAATAATAATGTGGTTTTTCTAATGCACTTTATACCCCTTAATGTTTGCAGATGAAAAGGGAAAAAAAGGAAAAAGGTAAAGACAGAGAGAGGAAACATGGTCAAAGCCCCATTGACCACAGAAAGTCAAGAAAGGTAATATATAATTATATATTACCTCATCTGTCATGCCATTTTTTTATAAAATTATTAATGTGTTTTTTTTTTTATACTTTATGTAGCATGTTTCGCATGAATCCGATGATGAAAGCAAGCATAAAAGACACAAGGATGATGGTGAACATGTTCATGATCATGAGGAGGAGCTTGAAGATGGAGAAATTTGCTAGATTCTTCTTCATCATTTAGGTTTTTAAGCATATAATATTCCTTTTTTTTTTTGTTGTTAAACCATAGAATGGTTAAAGTTGTTATTGGTTTAAAGTAAAACTTTAGTTTTTGAAATTGACTTGTTCTTATCCAGAAAAGCAATATATAATACAATAGATCAAGACAAGATTACATAAATGTTCCCTATGATTTAGCGAATTACACATATAGTCCAACTTCAAGAAGATAGACAGACTTGGTCCCTGTGTTTTGTTGATATTGCGGAAATGGTCCTTCTATGGTAGCATGTAATTCCAATTTTGAAAACCAAAAATGGCTGCTAAAAGTGATTGTTTTGGATTGCTCTTTCTTGTTACTTGATATGCTCTGAAAGCCTAACTAATATATTTGGTTTCTCATGAATGCCAGGTCTTTGTGAGTAGCATAATCATGGATATATTCAGGACCTACGATTACATAGATTATACCTATTTACATAAATACCTAAGGGGTGAAGTGAGGCCATTACTAATTTAATAATAAAGAAATTAATAAAATAAAAGTCTAAAAACAAAAAGATACTACCAAGGAAAAAAGAAAGGGTAAAAAAGTCATTTTATTAAGAATTGGGTAAATTACACCAATCGTTCTTCCTGTATATGTCAAAAACACATTTAGTCTATATTTTAAAAAATTAATTCGGCCCGGCCCTTGTTCGTTTAAAACTTGCATGTTTCGTCCCTCTTGACATGAACAGACCATTTTGTCCTTATTTTTATTTGTTTATTATTTTTAGATTAAACAAAAAGAAAAGAAACAATAAATATACATACAAGTACCCACCCGTCCCCGCTTCCCCCTCCTATATCTTCCTCTATCATTGTTTCCCCATTCTCAGCCACTCCCGACGCCAGCGAAGCCCCATCACCCCCACCTTCACCTTCACCCCAAAGCGATAAACCAAAATCGGACCAATCGATCTTCCTCCTACCCCGATCGCCTCTATCAAACCCTAGAACTCAGGAAGGAACTGTACATGGAAGCATAAACAACATCACCACCGTCGGTGGAATCATCAACAACACCATAATCGCCACCACCATCTCATATCTCCACTCAACCCTAAGTCGCCTCTCGTTTTTACTGTTATTGATTTACAACAAATCAGAAGATCAAAAAGAGAGAAGGAAGTTGCAATTTATCCTTTCCCCAATTTCCTTTCTTCTTCTGCTTTGAATTCAATCGGTCGTATCTCTCGCTCTGTCACATAGACCACCGATCATCACTCAAACCTCAAAAAGAACCCTAAATCTGCAATTGAAACCGAACTAAAACTTAAATTTACAAATCAAAGAGGATGGGGATCTAGATCAGAGAAACGGGTTTAGATCGAACCCAAATCTTCTCCATCGACGATAGAGATGAATAGGTGATCACATTCCAGGCGGTGTTTAAAATCGTTTCCAGGGGTTTTCAATGACTGATTTGGATGGAGATGGTTGGCTTCGAGGGTGGTATAAGGCAGGTGGTAGTTTCTTGGAGGCAATGAATAGATGATGTTTGAATGATGCAGGTTGCACGAAGGTGGTTTCCGACTGAAGTGGGTTTTCCGATTTTGAAGGTAAGGTTTAAAGTTAGTGTTGGTTGCAGTTTGCGACAATGAGCAGGGATGCGACAATGGTGTTCTGATGGTGGTGTATCCTGACAAAGGAGGAGGTAGGAAGTCGGTGTTGGGTTTTAAGGTGTTGGGGTAGGGGTATGAAGTGGGGCCCTATTGCTTTTTCTTTTATTTTTGAATTAAAAATAATAATTATAACATTAAATTAACTGAAAAAGAAATACAAAATAGCATAATAGTCATTTTATGTCTTGCAAGGGATGAAACATATAAATTTAAACTAACGAAGGATGAAGTGTGCAACTATTAACCAAACGAGGGACAACCTGAGTTAATTTTTGAAAATATGAACTAAACGTGCTTTTTGGCATATACACGAGGGTCGATTGGTGTAATCTACCCTTAAGAATATAACAGCTATCTAGTTAGATTTAACACGGCTTAAGGAAGATCCATGTAATATCAACAAAACACGAAATTGTCAATTTCCTTGAAGCTGGACTATATGTGCCTATTTTGACAAATCACAAGGACCATTCATGTAATTTTGTCTAATAAAATATTAGATAATGTTGAAATCGTTTACATACATGAATGAAAGCACACGATAAAAACGCATACAGACAAGATATGAAAAGATTAATTAAAATACTTGATTTAGGAAATAAGAGCACAGGGCTTTTGAGCTTTCAAGTGCTCTACTTTTGATTTGATCTCACTACTGAACAACTTGTATGACTTGTACCTTGAAACAAAACCAACACTAAACTGCTTGATATCGTTTTCAAGATCTTTCCTTTTTTGAATCTCACATGTCAAATCCTGCAAAATCTTTTCATTCTGCTCCTTCAACCATGCATTTCTTTTCCAAGAATCAGAAACTGTTACAAGTAAATCATCTCTTTCTTCTGATAAAACTTGAGATTCCTTTTGAAGACCATGAATTCTTGCTTTAGAAGCTTCTAGAAGCTGGTTATTCGTATCCAACTCTTCCTCAAGGTTTTCGTATCTTTCCTTGATCAGTTTGATTTCATCACTCATTTCTTTCTTCCAACAAGTAATTTGTGTTTCCAATGTGCAATCCTAAAATCATATTATTAGATTTTGAAAATGTAGAAATGTTGTAGATTTTAACATAAAAAGCTTCTTCCTTCAACTTTATTTTACAACTATTGTTATTGTTACAAAGAATCAAAATAATATGATATAATGATAACAATAATATAATACCTTGAAACTAGGAGAGATAATAACTGAAGATTAAGATGGTGAATAATATGAAAATGGACATGTAACTTCTTGATAGATGAATATGTGCCCAACAAGCATTAGCATTAGCAGCTACCTTATTTTTCTTCTTGTATTCTTCTGAATATGAACTTCCTTTTTCATCATCTGCTTTTCTAAACCCATTCATAGCCATATAAATTTGTGCTTCAAAACCTGACATAAGAGACATCACGAATTCACTTGTTTTAGAAAACAAGTTTGCAGTTGCCGACTTTTCATCTTCTGCAAAACCCTGTTCAAAAGACGTAAATACCCTCAACATCCTCATTGTCAAAAATAGACAAAAGGAAATTTTCCATTGTACTACCTTAAAAGTAGAGAACATTTCCTCATTTACAGCTTTGCAGTTTCCCAAAGATTGACTCAACTTTTGAGGGATTTCTTGAAGTTTAGATATCTCCTCCATTAACTGATTGTTCAATGCTACTTGTTCTTTATGCTGTTTCTGTAGTATGTATAATTAAACACTTCAGCTATAATAATAAAAATAAAACATATCATGATATAAATTATAATTAAACACTTAACCTCATATTCATTTCTTTCATCAATAGCTTGTTGCAATTGCTTTCGAAGATTTTCAACTTCTTTGTAATTGTCAATTGAGGAATCCTGCAACTAAAGAACATTGACATGAATATAAAGGACAAACAAAAGAAATGAAAAGTCAAAATCAAAACTTACTTGAATTTTATCAAATGATGTTATGGATGAAAGTTCTTTTGGTGGAGTCATACGAATTGAATCAAGGTCAGCTATGAAGCCATTGTTCATTTTGAACCACGTGTCTTCATCAACAACATCACCAAAAGCATCTGGAAGTGGACTATATAGAGGTGTTGTAGAATTGTAACATCTTTTAGCAACAAATGAATTTGGAATCGGTTTAAAAGTTGGGGTACTAAAAGCATCTCCTTGTTGTGTGCTACAAGTGTCACTTGCTTCTTCTTTCAGATTTTTTCTTAAGGATTCTCCATTCTACAAAAAAAAATAATAATAATAATAATAAATTCTTTGTAGCACATCTTCATCTATTGAGTTATAATAAGATTATTCAAGATTTAATGAGTTAAAACACTTAATCAGGACATAATAATGACTTAATGGGTTATCAATTATGAATCTCCTGACAAGTGTTTTTCAGGATGCAAGGGTAAAATGGTCATTTGTAAACTTACATGGGAAGAAATTCCATTAGAGCATTGTTCTCGTTCTCTGTGTGATTTCCTCTCTTCCTCTAATTCCATAGCAAGCTTTTCACGCTCTAGCTCATACTGATAAGTGGGAAACAAAACAAATATATATATATATATATATATATATATATATATATATATATATATATATATATAAAATAAAATATAAAATATAAAATATACACTCTACCTTGAGCATGTCATTTCTCAATTTCAAGATTTCTTGCTCCAGCACCCCCGCATGAGATCCCTATTACAAAAAAAGTTTTTATCATATTTCAATTCTAATGTTGATGACACTACTAAGAAAATAATAATAATAATAAAAGATAAAGATAAAGTCCACCTCAAGTTTCATGCGTAATTCCTCTATCTCCATTTTCTGTCTCTTCAATAACGCAGCATCCGTCAAAATCTAGAGAAAAATAAAAAGTATTTAGCTCCAACAACTAAATGCATACACAAAATAAAAAAAATGAACAATCTTTTTATAAAAACATAAGGCTGATATAACATAATAAGACACACCTCATTTACTTGAACACAATTAGTGATACGTTTAGCTCTACTTGCAAACTGTAGGGTTCCCTTTGTTTCCTCTACATGAACCTATAACACAAGACTTGAAGTTAAATAAATATAAACATGAACATGATATATTTATATATTTTTATATTTTTATATTGATATATTACCTCCTCTGGTGCCACAGTACAAATGATAGAAGTTTTTGCATTGCCACCAAGTGCAGGTTGAAGGATACGGGTGAGTTTGCTATCACGATAAGGAATATGTCCCCTGAAAAATAAAATTTAATCATTTCTTATTGTTGAAATCAATTATATGATTAAATTAATCAAACAAGATGTGTAGAAATAAATAAGTAAATAAATAAATAAAACCTTTGTTTTGCGCCTTCACTCAATTTATTGATGACATTTCCAAGAATCATTAAACTCTTGTTGATGTGTTTTCCTTCTTTCAACCGAACTCCACCAGCTCCAGTTTTAGCAATCCGTTCAGATCCAGCTAAGTCTACCAAATTCTGGTAATATATAAACAACAAAAACTCATGAAATTAATATAAGTATATATAACTTTATAACTTTGATCATATAAATCATTATAATAAGTTTATAGATAATAAAAAAGTTACAAACCAAGACAGAAACACGGATAGCATCATCCAAATTAGTTGAGTCTTTCCCCTTGCTTTCAATCACCTGAGATGTAAACATCATTTAAATGGATTGATTATAAAAGAAATATATAATATATATGAAAGAGAACTGGAAGACATAGTACCATTCTAAAGATTGTGTGGGACCTACTGCTTCTGACATTCATATTAGTTTCACCAAAGTGCCTATTAACTGAAAGAAGTAGGTTTCAGATATGAGATATACATACAGTCTGAGTCAACTCAATTTAAACAGATGCTACAATAAAATCTTAAATTAGTCTCAAAAGGTCAAACCTTCTCCCATTTCAATGAGCTTTAGAACTTGCTCAGCACTATTAACAATCTCCTCCCTGAGTCCTGCAACAAATATTCCACGCTGGAATATAGCATACATTAGTAAAAGAACGTATGTGTAGAGTATAGAATGTGTTGTTTGAATCCATACGCACTTCCAAACTCTCATGAATCTGAAGTTTCTGATTCTCAACAGCAAAAAGATCATTGATTTCTTCGTTATAGATCTCCATGTATGAGACTCGAATGAGAAACTCTCTATCGGTTGACTGCAAACATTTACTGTATTTTAGGAACAGGCTTATAAAAGCTTATGAGGAGGAAATACACTAGTGAAATTATAAGAATATACCATTTCAATCTTGGTAAAAATATCTTTGACAGCTCTGTGAATAATTCCTGGATCATTTTCAGACCCATTCATTGTAAACGTTTTTCCACTACTTGTTTGTCCATAAGCAAACGCAGTGCCTGAAAATGCACAGTTATTAGCTTCCAAATTAATTTTCATGACCAGTAACTACAGAACTTAGTCAATTAGTAGAAGGTAAACAGATTCAGAGTGAGAGATGCAATAACACAGCATAATAATCACGTATCATCCAGGTTAAAAGGAAGTGGAATAAAAAAGAGGAAGCATTGAATTTCATACAAAATCAGGATTAGCTAAGGATTACCATTGAACCCATCAACGACGGCATGGATAATGTCCTTGGTAAGGAGGTCATAAACGCTAGAATTGGAGCAATTTTGGTCGAAAACATGATCTGCGTATAAACACATATACATAAGATTATCCAATTGATAGATAAAAGATAGACTGAAAACGAAGGGTTTGTTTGTGTACCGAAAGCATAAGAAAGAGCAGGGGGAAGAGGGGTGCCGGATAGAGACCTATGCAGAGAAATACGGTTGTCATCTACCTTCCAGTGACTGCAATTGGAATTGGAATCCTCGTCTGATTTAACGGGTGGCCTCACTCTCACTGCTACGCATATTTTCTCCATTTCTGTGCACAAAGCTTGAAGGATTGATTGAGCTGGATCTGAGACTGAAAGTGATATTTGTTGATCGATCGGGTGTATAGGCGGGATGTAGAGAGATACAAGTTTTTCTATTTGATTTCAAAATCAAGGTTTCTGTTACTTTTGTCTTTCTTTTGAATGGATTGGGCCTTGGGCTATAACTAGAATTTAAAGGTCCTGTAAAACGCCCAATCGTAAGCCTTCCACAAATAATCAGAAGTTAAAACCGAGTTATATATATGTATTGGAAAAGTGAATAAACCTTTAAGGGTATATAAGCTTAGGTAACTAAACTTATCATGTTACGTCATTTTATATCATATATACACATTATACTTGTTCAATGTAATTCAACTTGTAACTTGATTTAATTCTAAGATTTTTATAAATTTTACACTTATCTTCCTCGTATATAATTTTCATTTTCAACTATAATATATATAGTCTAGTATGTGTTCGGCATAAAGATGTGTTATAAGAAGAATGTAATAGTGAAAATTTGAAAATCTTGAAAGTAATCAAGTTAAAAGTTTAAGAACATTATAATGAACATATCAAACAAAACGATATATTATGGTGGGTTTGGGTACCTAAGTTTATATATCCTTAAGGGTATATTCACTTTTCCATATATATATATATATATATATATATATATATATATATATATATATATATATATATATATATATATATATATATATATATATATATAAAATTAACTAACAGAAATAACCTGTTTTTTAATGCAATTTCACTTCAAAAAAACCCGAAACGATTATAACCAAAACCTATTTTTTTTATAACCGTTTTTTTTAAACGGAAATCAATTTCAAACTTATCTCTATACTAATAAAAGAGTAGTTCTTTTGCCATGTGTCATCATATTAAACCTCTTAATCGATGTATTGTCACTTGTCAATCTATTAGTTCTTTATTTTAAATTTATTAGACAGCATCATTAATGTGATGCTATTTTGTCAACGTATTTATTCTCTATTTTAAATTTTATATTATTGTTTTCATTAATTCACAAATAAAAAATGTCTAATATTTATATATATATATATATATATATATATATATATATATATATATATATATATATTAAAAAGTAATTTTACATATTTATTTGAATCAACGATTATAATTTTATATAACTAATAAAAACATCTCGTAATTAATAATTTATTTAAAATAATTGATTAATAATTTTGATTTTTTACTATAAAAAATTTAATTAATTTTATAACTGTGGTTCCCACGGGTTATAAACTAGTATAGTTATATTTATACGACGTTATGGCTCTACCTATTAGTATTAGAAGTGCAGATAGGTCAGATAAACCTAATTATATATTAATTTGCATCAAATAAAACTGGATTTGGCCTAAACAAAATTTGGATATTCCAAACTAGATTCTCCGGATTTTTGGGTGAGTAATATAGGAAGCGGAGCAAACTGGGCCCCAGATACATCAGTCCGTTTAGGGTTTTAGCTCGGGTGGACCGTGTTGCTTACCGTTTGGATCTTCCAGCAAAGCTCAACCAGATCCACATCACGTTCCATGTTTCTCATCTACGGAAGTGCTTAGTGGATGACTCAGCGGTTGTGCCCTTAGAGGACATTCAGGTCGATGATAGCTTGAATTACATCGAGAGACCAGTAGCTATTCTCGACAAGAAGATGAATGAGCTATGGAACAAGAGGTTAGTTGTAACACCCAAAGTCTGGAAGGCCAAGAAAGGAAAGAAAACCCTAATTTTAAAGGGAGACTCGACGAGTCCAAGGATGAACTCGGTGAGTCCGAGCGGGATCCGGGTCAAGGAGTAAGTGACCGACTCGGCGAGTCGGCCAAGGGGACTCGGCGAGTCTGGTCTGTGCGAGGAAAACCCTAAAATCGGGACTTGGAGCCTATTTAAACATCTCATTCTCTCCCCTAGGGCTCCTTTACTGCCCCTTTCACCCAGAACATTGAACCCTAAGCCCCATTGTTGCTCATTCAAGCTTCCAAGCCATGTGTAGGGTGATTTGAAGGAAGAAGAAGAAGGGGAATCATTGGAGCTTCAAGGATTGGCCTTGGATCCGAATATTTGAGAAGTTTTCTAAGTTATTGAAGGTATTAAGTCGTTCTCTCCTTTAGATCTAGTATGGTTGTGAGTTTTGGGGGTTTTCTAGCCATGCTTAGTTACCTATTTTGAGTTAGAAGCCAGATCTGAGGTTGCTACTTCAGATCTAAGCTCATTATGGTCTTGAGAAGCATAAAGTATCAGCCCTTGAGTTGATTATTGAGCCTCTTTGCCTTAAACCCTAGTTTATGGTGTATTTTGCCTAGATCTCCTTCTCTACACGTTAAGTTTGCAACTTTACGTGAGGAATAGGCTTGGGAAGGATAGATCTACTGTTTGGAGTCCATGCATGACTCAAAAGCCCTCTGCATGTAAAGGGATTTTAATGGACTTGGCAAGTCCTTTGAGTGGACTCGGCGAGTAGCATGAAGGTGAGGAGCAACTCGACGAGTGGGATGAACAGCTCGTCGAGTCAGATGAAGATTGCCTTGTACTCGGCGAGTCTGTTCTTGGACTCGGCGAGTCAGGTTGCGAAACCCCAAACCCTTTGAGTTGAGACTCGAATTAGTTAGTCGGGTGGAGACTCAGTGAGTTGGATAGGTCAGGACTCAGAAATTAGTAGACTCGGCGAGTCGAGACGCGAAAGGAAGGACTCTGAATATATGAACTCGGCGAGTCAGTAGGGTGACTCGGCGAGTAGGGTTGACCTTGACCAGAACTTTGACTTGGACCAGGGTTGACTTGGTTGTCTTTCGGGGGTCAGTTAGGTTCAGTATTGCTTTGATATTGTTAGTTCGAGGAGCAAGGGGAGCAGGAGTTCAGTCAGTTGCTAGGCAGCAACTAGTAAGATCATCAGCAAGTTCATCCAGTGCAGGTGAGTTTCCCTTTATGTGAATGGGTCTAAGGCCACAATGTAGGCCAATGTAGTTATGAGTAGAAGACCGGGGGGTTAGCCCTAGGCACAGTATGCTAGTATGATATTCAGGACAAGGTCCGTTAATAGCGGGCGGGTGCCCAAGGATTTGTTTTGTTTATATGATAGTTTATACTTGTTGTCTGTGTGATACATGTATGTGCCTGGTAGGGAGGTGGGTATGGGCGAGGTCCCGTGTGACAATCGTCAATCTAGAGTCAAGTCAAGTCATCAAGTCAAACCGGTCCACTCGATTAAACCTTGTGTATTAGGATTTGCGTTATGTAATTACTGCATAACTTGCTATATTAATGGGAAAACATCACTTGGGAAAATTTCTTGTGTTAAAATTTCATGAGCCTTAGTGCTAATCAATGAACTAAACTGATAAAACCATGTTGCATACTCATCGGGAGTGTGTAGGATCCTTAATCATGACTTAACGGGGCTCAAGAACCTTGCGTTGCGGAGCCAAACACTCACAATTGTCACACGTGGAACCTCTCTCAATCGTTTTCACTCTATCTCTCTCTATGTCAAATCTCTCCCAAATCTCTCCAAGTATGTGAAATCTCTCTCAAATATCTCTTTGTATGAGGAATCTCTCCAAGAATGTCAAATCTCTCCAAGTATGTGAAATATCTCTCAAATATCTCTTTGTATGAGGAATCTCTCCAAGAATGTCAAACCTCTCCCAAATCTCTCCAAGTATGTGAAATCTCTCTCAAATATCTCTTTGTATGAGGAATCTCTCCAAGAATGTCAAATCTCTCCCAAATCTCTCCAAGTATGTGAAATCTCTCCCAAATCTCTCTCAAAAGTTCCTTGGACTTTTTATAGTCTTTCGGGCCATCTCGACCCTTAACCGGGTCAAAAACGGCTTAAAACAGGGTAAAAACGAGAAAAATGGACCTTAGGAACCGAAACCCTTTTCAAGGAGCCGAAGCCTCTTAGGGCCGAGCCCCTTGGACCGAAAGTAACCAGGACCGAAACCGAGTCTCGATCTCTGCTCTCCTCTCGGTCTCTGTTCTCCGCCTCTCGGTCTCCTCCCGCCTCTCGGTTCCTTGCCCTGTCTCGGTCCTTCCCTTCCCTCTCTCGGTTCTTCTCCCCACCTCTCGGTTCTTCTTCTCTTCTCTCGGTTCTTCTCCCCACCTCTCGGTTCTTCTTCTCTTCTCTCGGTTCCAACACCAGAGGACCGAACCTCCGGCCAGACTTCGGATTTTTGACGATTTTCACCCATTTTTTGATATTTTTATCATTTTAAGCCCGTTTTTCATGATTTTAACGTGGGATTTTCTCCAGAATTTATATTTTAACATAATAAACCCTAAATATTCATAATTTAATCATATTTTCATAAAAATCCCTATTTAAATAATAAAAATATAGTGGGTGAATAATTGAGGTGGAGTGTTGACTTTATTTTACCTTATAACACAAGCAACCACCCCCACACCCACTCTATGACCAGTCACACCTCCCCACCTTACTTAGGTCACTTCAATGTCCCTTACACTCAATTACCACCCATTCCCACGTTTTTAGAGCTGGAACAAAACATCCTCTCTCCTCACTTCTCTCATTTGCTCTCATTTCACCAAGGATCCAACTCCACTTTTCTCTCAGACTTTCTCTACCACATTCGAGATTCAAGGTTGATTATCAAGTGGTCTTCCACTCTTGGTAAGTATAATTCATCCTCCTTGTGATTATTGCACATCATTCTACTCAAATCGTTGATTGCTTACATAAACTCCATAACTATGATTTTAGATTCTCGAAAATCTTCAAGGCATCTCCAAGTGTTCTTGAGTTAAACACTTCCATTCTTCAACAATCATCTACTGAAATCACATAAGGTGAGTTCATACCCCTACATTTTCATGTTTTCTCAAGTTTTTAGGGGGGGAATACAATTTAAAACACAAAGAACATAATTAAACTTTTCTAACAGTCTTCATCAGAAACGTTCAACTCCATTCACGGACTGTTTTGGGCAACTTAAACATTTTTTTTTTCAAAACTGTATAAGGTTCAAATAGTTCAAGTTCTTAGCTTTAAAATTACTACTTGCACATCTCCATAAGATTTTTCTACAATT